TTATTTGGTATCAATAAATTTTTGTTATAAGTATATTTAACAAAATAATATATATTTTTTTTTATTTCTTTGTTATATTTCTTTGTTTTACATATTCATAACGTTAAAAGAAATAAAATCTAAAATACCTTTTGTCTTCTTAGTCGATCTTTTCGAAAATATTTTTAGATTATATGCATTATAATAAACAAATTTTTGTACAAATTTATAGAGTGCTATGCTAATTTTTCATAAATTGTTCTTCTAATTGAAATACATGAAAATGCACCACCACGGATTACAAAATATCAAGGTACGGGCATGTACAAAAAGTTAATCTTACTCTATTCGAAATCGCTGTTCCAATTGAGTCATGCACAACGCTACACTTTGTGCATTCCTGTGTACGTTGTGTCAAGATGTGTTGAGTAATTGGAAAGCACCCATTAACTACAATGGTAAAAATTTTCACTTTTCATTTTCATCCTAGGGAAAAAGTGAAAAATTCCTTCAATGGTCGCATCCAGCGGACTCAACAGTTGAGTGAGCGCTTGCTATTATTGGTGTATTCTTTCAGATCTAAAATTTTGATTGGATGATCTAAAAGAATACACCAATAACAGCGCTCACTCAACTGTTGAGTCCGCTGAACGCACCCATTAATAACTTCAATGGTAAAAATTTTCACTTTTTATCCTAGGGAAAAAGTTTCATGATCGATATCCAGAGGGCAGTAGTGCGCGCCGCGCAGCATCATTTTGCAGTTACAGGAAAAAAGCCCTTGTGTCCTCTCTACCTCTCTCAGGTTTTCCTCTGGTAATACGTGAAAATGGAAGTGCTTTCGAATACGAGTGATTTCAATGAGTATAGGTTAAAAATCGATTAACCGCTCGCGCGAATATGTTCACGAATACGTCGGATATGGATATCGATAATCAGAGCGAAGACGGAGAAATCAAGAAAAGTCTATCGAAGGATATGGGTGATTTTAGGTATTTATTTTTATGGTATTGTTGCGTAATCTAGGTCTAAAATTAGGTCTGAAGGAGAAAAATCAGCCACTACAATTCAATTAATTATGGAAACAAGCGCGATTATATGCGTACTTATACGTGATGAATTACACATCTTATTGTTGTCTGACCCACGTGAAAGTCGTTTAGGTTAGCTTAAATAAGATTCTAGGCGCATGTGCGCGCTTGCGTGACAAATTTTTGTTCTTTTGTATGCGGAGTTAGTCGAAGGTCGAAGCCGTCGAAGGTAGTGCATATATCAGCAAATCGGACTTCGCCTCGAGTGTTTTTCATTAATTTCATTGATATTCTATCAATTCTCCTTTTTTACGATAAATAAATTTTTTTTAATGAAAAACGTGTTGCGTAACGTTTCACGAAGCGGAATGATGAACGATGTTGCCTAGAATTTTTAGGTATTCAAAACTCGCTGAGACAATGCACTTTTATATATACGACTGATTCAATTATTTTCGTTTTTATTTACTTCTAACGACATCGTCCTTACTATGACAGTAGGATATATTTGTTTTATTTGGCATTAAAACATTTATTAAACTTTTCTTTTTGCATTCATCAATTATGTCAAACATTTATCAACTGAATATTGTTAACATAAAGTTAACAAGTTTGTAATATTATTGATTCAATTTAATTACTTGTTTTATTTGATGTTTACAGCTTTTCAGAGGAAGAAGGTGGCGATACGGCTGATTCCTTGGATATTAAACCACCACAGGCAGTTGTTCGCTATCATAAATCTAGTTCGTCTCGTCGAAGAGAGAAGCACAGCGACAGACGAAATCGTAGAGATGAGAAAGAACGCAAGTCGCGTCCATATGAACGCGAAGACAGACACAGGGACAAGCATAGACATCGTAGGCATATGGGAGATCCTCTTGAGAGATCTGAACGTTTGGAGAGCTCCAAGAGAAATCGCGAGAGGATGGAACGTTTAGATAGAATGGAAGGCCATTCTAGAGATAGAGAATCCTCTAGGCATGATCGCAAGGAAAGAAGTACAGGAGATCGCGTCCTAGAAGATTTAAGAGAAAGGTAATTGTATGTTGCGTTTTAGAATTTTTTTATTTCAAACAAATGATAGTATTAACCTAATTAAGAGGGTTACACCACCTTGACCGCCTAAAAATCATAACTTTGGGAATTACTTTTAGGAAAACAATAAAAATAATGAATTGCATTATTCTCCAATCTTTCTCCAAGTACAAAAGATATGTCAATCTGCCTGGGCAACCTCCGCGTGGTATTACGTATCTTGAATAATGCTAGTGTCGGCAATACTGTAACTTTGAAGCATTATAACTTGAAAAGTACTTCATGAAAAAATATTTTATTATAGCGTTTTGGAAAGCTCTCGACATCAGCTATTAGATTCTTGAATCAAAAATAGGGTATTCCATTTAAGAAAATTAATGTAACCTTGACCTGACCTTGGCTACGCAACCCAAGGTCAAACTGATAGGATCAGTAAATAGATATTTTTAAACCATATAACTTTTGTACGAAACACTTTTCTGCAAAACTTATATGTCCAGAGATTTTAGGTGTCCTGACTTTTTGGGACACCCTATATAAATAAAATATTTTTGAATTGAAAATGGCAACACTAGAACCGCTGTACTAAACGTCGTATTGCTGCAACTATTAAATCGGCGTTACGGGGATCTTGACTATCAGTCAGACCTGGAATAAAAATCCAAAAATTTTTTGTTTTGTACATAGTATGTACTAAAGAAGTATGTACAAATATTTTGAAATATTGATTCTTACGAAAATAGCGAACGTTTGAAAACAACATTTCATTTTTTACCAAAAAATTTTGTTAAAAAATGTTAAATAAAAAAAAATGTTTTTAACATCGCAAAACCCGTAAGTATTTCTTTAGATTATACAAAAAAGAAGATTCTTCTATGTAAATTTCAAGTAAATCGGATGAACAGTTTCTGAGATCCGCGCAACACCAACTTTGAAAATGTAATGCCAAGAAAAACGCGTTTAAAGTTTTGCTTTGTGATATTTTGTGTGTTTAGTAAGAAATATCAAAATTATCTTTAGTTTGTAATACCTGGGCCATACAACAGTCTTTCTACATTAAAATTTGCCTCATCTTCTTCTTTTCTACTCGTTTTTACTCAGATACTCCGACCTACTCAGTTCAGGTATATTCCGAATTGCTTCAAATCGCTCGATAGCGTTATAGACACGCTTCACTAAATTGGCTCAAAACTTGATTAAAAATGCGAATTTTTCATTTCAACTATTAAAACCTTATTTTTTAGACTATAAATTATAATTTAAGTTAAAAAAATTCGATTTTTTTGAAGCTTTCAAGGTGGTGTAACCCCGTAATGAATTACTTATTTTTTATATAAATCGTTTCTTTTAACAATCTACTTATATTATACATTAAAATATTTTTATGTTCTAGATTATTGGACAAGAGAAGAGAGAGACGAGAGGATCCACGTGATACTCGCAATTATAAAATTGAGTCATCTCGACATGATATACGATTAGTGGAGGACTTGCGAGATTTACGCGAATCGCGTGATCGGCGAGAAATACGGATGGAAGACCTTCGGGAGCGTCGTGAAATACGTACCATGGACGACGGTAGAGAACGTCGCGAGATTCGCATGGAGGAACAGAGACACGTACGAGTGATCATGGAGGAGCACTTTTCAGAAAATGAACTGATGGAACGATCTGAGAAACGTCGCAAGCGGTCTCACAAGCACGATCGAACTCGCGAGAGAGATCAAGAGAAGATGGAGCGTGAAAAGGAGCACAGAGACAAGCAGCTACGCGAAACGATGGAAATAGTAACCAATGATGTTAGTGAGATGGATATGCAAAATGATATCTCGATACAGATTAAAGATCCAAAAGAAATGACAGAACAAGAAATCAGAAAAGAAAGGCTATTAGAAGCCGATAGAGAAATGCTCAGACGAAAAGAGGTGTCCAGGATGGAATTGGAAGCGAGAAGACTGAAGAGAGGCGATAAACGACCCATGAGTCCGGATAACAATCTGGATCCTTCAGTTGTAGAATTATCTGATGAAAGCATCAGTCCTGTTCGTTCCGAGGGTGTACGATCAAAATCAGCCGAGTCTAAACATTCAACCGAAGGAGAAGGAAGTCCACATGAAAGATCCTCGGAGCGACATTCGTCCGATTCCTCGGAATCGAGTAGTGATGACGACGAATCTAACGAGTCGAATAAAGGTTCTGCTGGTGATTCCAACGATGGCTCGGAATATAACAACCCAAGTCCATTGTCCGTCGATCGATTAGCCAAATCCGATCATTCCGACGGAGACTCTCCTGGACATGTCGATTCCAACAATACTTCGAAAAACATAGAAGAGGAGGAAAAGAAAGAAAAAGAACCAGAATTACCGCCGTATCTACCGGCTATTCAAGGTAAACAAAAAATGCAATAAATAAATATAAAAATGTAAAAATGAAATTGAAGAACTAAAAATTCACTTAACTGCAAGTCACATACATAGATAAAAAATTTTAATAATATAAACTAAAAATAAAATTAATTTAATATGAAGATAATAATTTCTATTATATAGGTAATGAGAGGGAGAGAGAGAGGGAGGGAGAGAGGGAGAGAGGGAGAGAGAGAGGGAGA